CACACTGTTACTGTTACTTAAGTTATTTCGTGCGATGTAAAAATTGTATCAGTCGGGTATGTCAATTGCGAATAACGAATATACATAAAAACGGACAGCGGCCGCGATAATTAGTCGCGGCCGTTCGTTTCAATTAAGGTAAGCTTGTGTAACGAGACGATTGCGGCAGCAACGTGATTCGTTAGTCGGCACGGAGGAATACCGCGGCGTTCCCGAGGTCCCTCAACGAGTGTCGCGTGAACCAACCAGATACTTTAATGATCTCTAACGACAAGCAATTAACTCGAATCGGACGGTAATATTATCAGCTTTGCGTTACACGATTGCTTCTGTCCGGCGTTGGCCGGTCGAGACGCTCGTTATGGCAGCGTCAGAATGTTCGGTGTTGTTTTGCCCATTAGACTCGGCTGTTCGACAGTGTCGAACACGAGATCGTATTGATCGATCGCGTGTCGCATGGCATTATTTGTCTAATTTTCGCGATTTCACTAGTTTAGTCGAGAAAAATATTTCTATAAAAATGGAAATTTTATAACATGTTTTAGATGGTCTCTCTCTTCTGAATATAAATTAAATAATCTCTACATTGACACGCTAATAGAATTTTGAGAAATATAAAATTTGTTTTTAAAATTAAGTGTCAATAAAACGAGGAATTTTGTTAATCGTAACGAACGTCGTTGTGCAATCAATCACACGCCGATAATAAAATTTGCAGTTCTCAAAGGACCTCAAATTTCCATGTAGGTTCAAATTAATTTTACAGACGCGTCGACTTCTCTTCCAATCGTGCTACGCTTTTTCGAGTGCGCGGCACTTTGTAACAGGACTCGCGTGCTTTTCTCGTTCGAGCACGTGTGCGACGCGCGCGTCTGAAACTAGCGCTTTGAAGTGTTGACCACACGCATGTGTGTGCCCAGCTTTTCCAACAAACTACATATAACTGTGTTAACCATATGTCCATAAACCGTAGATCTAACCATAGCTTCGTTAGTTCCCTCTATAGTCTTCTGTCGGCTTTACAACCGGTTCGGGATCAGCATACTAATCTGTTCGCGCGTTCGATAAACCGATTCTATTTGTTGTTTGTCAGTCACGAGATAGGACTCTCACACACCCTTTTGTGTAAAATCTAAGGAAAATATATCGTCCCAACTAGCTGATACATGAAATCGAAATTATCTACAAACAATGTACATCCACCTACTTACATACATTGTCGAAAATCGCGTGTGTAGCAGCTTGTCGTACTAATTTTCTGTGAGTTTTTCTTTTATTCTTAAGAAAAACTAAAAGTTCTCCATAGTTTCTGAAAGGATTAGAGTCGACATTTGAAGATATTACGAGCAATTTTCTAAATTCTAAAGATGAAAATGTTTTTTTGTTTGAGAATTCTAAGTAGTTCTGATTGTCGAGTTCCCGTTCTTCTCTTTCAAGAGACCAGGAGTTTGTTATGAAAGCATGCAGAGTTCTAGGTAGTTCTGATTGGAGTTTTCGCGTTTTGGTTTCAAGAGTCTAAGAGTTTGTTATGCAGACAAGAATAATACGTTAACTTTATTTTTCCTAGACTGAAAGAAGATGTATCGGTTTTTCCTACTTGCTCGGGAGTTCCAGTTTGCGGTAGACTTGAAAAAGAGACGGTGTCACTTTTGTAAATACGAAACCACAGTATCCCTAGCTAAAGTCGAGTCGTTAGGATTATGAGATTTGTTAACAGACTTCGAGAGGGCGAGAACGGTGAAACCTTTCGGGCTCTTTTGTGTCCGCATTTTTTTCACAAAGCCTTGCCGACCGAGTGTGGGATTTCAAAGTACTATTCAGTGTTGTCCTTTCTCTCTTTAGTATTTTACCTTCATCATTCGCTAGTTTATCTCATTCGGGAGGACCGATCGACTTGATTTATTATTCAGTATTGAATTGATGAATGAAAAAAGAAATCATCACCTCTATTGTAATTTTCGAAACAAAGTTTTGCTGACATGTTGTGTATTTGCCATTGTGTACTTGCCATTTTCGGGAAAGTAAATATAACGTAAAACGTATTTCGACGCTAGCACGCTTTTACTACATCGTTCACGTAATGCGTTTTGATTTTTTTTTTTTTTTTTTTGCACGTGCAATCTGCAATCTATATCACTGGTTTTTATGGTTCATTTATGGTTCACGAGCGCGATCCTTTGCTTGCGAGCAAAGTGTCGTTCCGCCGGCTTCATAAAACGCTCCCGCCGTTCTATTCGTTTCAATTGTATCGCGATGGGGCGCACCACCGTGAAATTAATCGCACAGCGGTGTCTTTGTCGAGCGACGGTGTGCGACCTTTATTATCGCAACACGTTCGAAAGAACAGACGGATCTAATGACCCCGAGCCTCTCTTGAGAACGATCTCGGACGTGACACTAGCATGCGCCTAATTATTCACTCGCAAGCTGCGATACAGACACGCGCGCGTATGTATCTCTGAAAGAAATTCTTCCCTTTAATTTATTGCTGCGCACACGTGTATATGCGTACATATACGCGTGTAAATTTGTGCGTAAGTAAATTGAACAGTGATAATATATACGTACTATTTTTTTGACTTAATTAATGCAACGAGAGAAAGAGAAAGAAAGAGAGAGAGAGAAAAAAGATCTGTATAAGAGAAAAAAAGAATAAATTTTTATATCATTTTACATATATTATTTTATACAGCAATAATTTCATACTTATCGAATTGTACCTTAAGTCTGCGCTTTTCCACACATACACACACACCACAAAAGTAAGGACACAGTTACAACACGAATTTAGTCTCTAGTGCAGAACACAATCAATGTGTATAATCATTGTTAACCGTCAAAGCGAAGAATAAGGCAGGGAATAAAGTAGTTACGTAAATGCGGAAGAGTAATGTCGAGCGGAATTAGAATACCCAGCAATCGCCATATCTCGAACGAAGAGAAACGCTTCCTGCATTAGGAACGTACGGCTATGGTCGTAAAGGCGCGATGATCTGTGGGTAGAGGGTGAGCAGTGGCTGGTACCGAGGGGGTTGCAAATTGAATAACAAACGTTCACCCTCCTCGGTTAAATCACCGAAAAAGCCATCCCCTGAGCTTGCACGCTTGCCTCTAGACGTTAACCGCACCCCCCGCGAATTGCTGCGACGCAACCTTCTCCCGGCGCAACCCTCTCCGACTGCTTTGCATAACGATCTTATTTCGTAATCTCTGCCATATTGATCCAGTTTATGGCGCCGTGCTTAAAAATTGTTTACCGCGGTGTCGCTGTCAGTCGGGTGTCTTGACGCTGCTTCTTGTATTTGTTGAAATTAATTTTACAAATCTTAGAATCGTAAAATTTGCGTTTTTAAATTAAGTTTGTTTTTGCGTTATTCTTTATAAACAGTAATATTTTTTACTTGAATAAAGAGACCATGATTATTTATGTGATTACTTTATTAATTCGAACTTAAAGAAATTGTCACAAATGATTGCCTTGGCTGTCATTGTTTGAAGAATATTGCACATGTTATAATCAATTACTGACCGACTGGTGGAATGCTTGGGAGAATCGACTTTTACACAGGGAGTCCGTAATGATCGCGTGACGCGGCTACTCCGCTGTTTAGGCTCGAGAGGAGCGAGCCGAGTCATTCTCGCTAATAAGATCGAGAGCTAAAGCGCACGTATCGGACGCATTTCCGTTGCACTTGCGAGACTGTATCAAGAGATGCCCGACACCGCTCAATCCGGCGGATTCGCGAATAAAACACGCCACGCGCAAAAGTTGGAGTAAAATCCTGGAGCGGTGAAATAAAATAAAGTGGCATTGAGTAGCGATCGAGTGGGGGAGGCTTGATGTTATGACGGGACATTTCACGGTTGGCGGGATCTGGGATTTAACGGCCCGTGCGATAATATTGTCCCGAGAACTCGTGTCCCGCTCGTGCTTCGTCGCTCTTATTCAGAAGATACTTATTGTCAGATCAGTGAGTGCACCATCACGCTAATTCCTTGTTGAAAGCATTTTTTGGTCTATGAATGTTGCAATTATTATCGAAATATTATACTTACAAAATACTTTTAAAAGCGTGACTTGCTTGTTAATAGTCGTCAAGCATCGAGCGGATCTGTCTTAAAAATGTATGAACGATGTGTGCACAATGAAAAATTAGACAGAAGAAAGACGATGTTAGTTTTACGATTAGTTGACCTCTGTGACGGTTATTGTTTGACCGATGAAGAGCAGCAAAAGCAAAGATCGATAAAAGTTAATGGAAACATATGGATTGTGATTTGATAGGTTTATATAATTAAAAGTCAGCAATATATCGGGATGCAGAAAGCTGGGTGAAAGTATATAATCGAATAGTCTCCATTATTCAAAAAGCATTATTTATTTTCTTTTTTTCTCTTTTCACTTTAAAAGGAATTTATAATTTTTATAATAATACAGTAATAAGAAGTTAATAATAATTATAATAATTAATAATTAATTAATAATAATAATTCATTGATAATAGTGCGACACTACATCCGAAGGGTGGGCTGATATGAGTGATCGTTTATAAGTCCAAGTTCCAAACGTAATCAACAAATTGTGAATTCACCAAAGAAAATCACTTTCTCGTTAGACAACGTTCAAGGCCCTGTGTCGTACGAAATCGTTTGGAACCTGTCCACGTCCATACTCCACGGGTATCCTCTTTCTGTAATTCTCTTACATATTCCGTCTCTCGTCTTCCACAAGATTCAACGGAAGAGAAGAGTCGGTAGAGCGCGAAGTGTTTGTCGGTGTATTGTACAACGCGACAGTGCATTATGTATATATATATATATTTATATATATTTACTTTTATATATATTTATATATTTATATGAATTACTTTTTTACATTACACCGCTTACTATAATTTTTTTCTTTCTCTCTCTCTTCTTCTTTCTCTCTTTCTCTCTTTCTCTCCTCTCTCTTTCTCTCTTCTCTTTCATACACTATGTATATATATATATATATATATATCTATATATATATATTGTACAAATAAAGGTATATGTACAAATAAAAAAATTCTGAAATATCCGCGTGCGTATGTGTATTACGTGACCATTTCCGTATTCCAGGACGGGGAGCCAGATTCGTGTGTATCTCCGTGTATGCTCTCGTGTCTAGGTGTATGTATTATTTGTGCTTGCGCGTGTATGAACGCAGCGGACGGACGTGCGGTGGATCGTGACCGGTTGTTGGACGCGAGTGCGCTCGTAATCGCTTAGAGACTATGTACAGGCGCGGGGGACGAGGGTGAGGGAGTCTGAGCGGTCCCCGGCGTGCCAGGATTTTGTTGCACAGAGTAGGAGTTATTTTGCCGCGAATGTTGTTGCTGGTGCGTTTGGTGAGGGTGATGGTGATGATGATGGTGATGGTGATTTTGGTGATTTTGGTGTTGCTGATGGTGGTGATGGGGCGCAGATGAATTAATGGTTGCGTGATTCTGCATGAGGTTTAGGTTGAGGGGGTAGGATAGGGGGGAGCCCAGGGCCGTTGCGGCAGCGGTACTGCAGGCACCGACTCCGGGCCCCACCGGACTCAGTGCATGCTCATCCCCGCGTGCGGATGGTGGGCCGCCGGTACGGAGGTTGCGTGATGATGAGGATGGTGCATTAGAGGTGGGAGATGCGGGTGGTGGGGATGGTGTGGGGTCAGGGGCGGCGGGGTCATCTGTATTGGAGTCATGGGTGTTGTCGGCTGATGGCCGAGAGTGGTGGTGGTCTGTGGGGATGTGGTGTTGCTGGTGTCCTGGCCCGCCGCCACCGCCGCCGCCGCTGCCGCCGCCGCCGCCGCCGCTACTGCCAGCTGCTGTTGCTGCTGAGCCTGTGCTGCCGGCTGCTGCGGCGGCTGTGGCTGCGGCACCGAGCTGGAAGTGGGACTCTGCTGACTCCCGTTGTCCTCGCTGTCGGAGCAGGACTCGGCCGACGAGCTCCCCGCTCCCCCCTTGCCCTTGCTGCCGCTGCTGCTGCTGCTGCTGCTGTGGGTCTTGACGTGCTTCGCGAGATGGTCGCTGCGCATGAACCGCTTGTTGCAGACCGGGCAGGCGAATCTCTTTTCGCCGGTGTGGGTTCGAAGGTGCCGCTGCAACTCATCCGAACGTGTGAACCGCTTGCCACAGAAAAGCCAGTTGCAAACAAACGGTCGCTCACCAGTGTGCCACCGTAAGTGGGCCTTCAGATGTGACGTTTTCCCGTAGACCTTGCCGCAACCGGGTATATGACAGCTATGGATGTTCTTCTTCCTGAGGTGCACGCCTGCGGGACCGAGTCTCTCGGCTTCTTGACAGTTCGGGCAATCACAGGTTGCACGTCCAGTGTAGCGTCTTTGCGAGCGTGGCGAGGGTGCTTGGCCTACGCCGGCGCCCCCGACACCGACTCCGCCGCCGCTGCCTTGAGGACTGCCGGCACCGGCACCGGCACCGGCCGTCGCGGCCGCGTGATGATGGAGTCCGAATCCGGGCGGTCCGCCCGGTAACATCGACTTGTATGTGTCTTGTAGGAGATTGTGACCAGCCGTTGTTGCCGTGGTTAGGAGGTGATTACCGGCTAGTGCTAGGCTCGTGGAGTAATCGGCCGAATAATTCGCCATTTGCGCATGGACGCCAACTCCAACTGTACTACCTACGTCCAGCCAACCGCCGGCAGTCGCCGCTCCGTGTACGTCCCACCAACCGGCGTCGCTTGCTTTAATACCGCCGTGCGTCGCACCCGGCATCGCGTTGAACGGCCACGACTCATATGGATGCCTGCTGTATACCGAGCCTAGAGTCGTGCCCTCGACCTTCCCCAGGAGACTGCTCTGATGATGATGTGGATCGCCGGCTGGCTGAGCGCTCGCCGTTCCGGGAAAGTACAACTCACTACCGTATTGTGGCGCAGTTGAGGCACAGGACGTCACTGCCCTGGCGTAACCGCCGGTCGTGCTACCGGCGCTACTTGTCGCTGCCGGTCTCTGACTAACTCCTGTTGTTGTGCACCCGCCGTTGCCACCTCCTCCACCACCTCCTCCACCGCCGCCGCCGGTATGCTGCGGCGAACTGCCGCTGCTCTGTGGGCTTTTCTTCCAAGGGTGGAAACCTTTTCCCACAGCTGCATCGGCTAGGGGTGGCGGGCTCTTGCTGCTGAGTTTATTGCATTGCGCCGCTAGCATGGCCAACGGCGTACCCCGTAATCCCGGATGATCCTGTAACAATACAATAAAATTTACGCTTAGCTTTCAATACATGTAACAAGTATGTAGAATAAAAGATTATTTACTAATCGCAATTTAAGAGCATTTTATACGTATGAGTTCTTTTACAAACACGTACTAAAGAATTAAAGTTACAAAAGAGAAGTTTAAACTCTTAAAAAAGCGTTTCAATTATGATTTTTTAATAAAATCATAAATTTAGAATTATAATTTTATTGTGCAAAAATAGATTCAAATTTAATTTTTTGATATAAAATATGCAGTAAAATATATTGATAAAAAAAGAATGCCGAGAACAAGTGCAAGTTTGCAAGATCTCTATCGTCAATTTACAATGTGCTAACAACGTTCGCGCGCGCATTACCGGTCTTTTTCAAAATTTTTAACATCGGAAGCGCTCGTTATGGAGCAATCTCGTCGGCACGATTACGCAAATCGGTAATAACAACGCCGAAGCGAATTATGTATCGCGCGTATCGATTCACAGAGCCATCGGGGTACTTTTTTCATGCTAGCGCTTGGTAATATCGAAATCTGGCGATCGATGGACGCCTATAATCGCTGCTGCGTCTAAATCGATCTAAAAAGAACCTCCAGCCCGGGCTTAAGAAGAGGAAGAAAGAGAAAAGTCTTCCCCTAAGGGCATATAATGACACTAAATTGCCGCTCCTATCCTAGAAGAGATCGAAAATTAGTCGCTGAAAGTAATGAGACCCGCGTAGTCCAAGGTTGCTTTACCTTAGATCGGTTTCTCATGCAAATTGTTCTCGAATCAAGGAGACCTGACGTTTTCGCTGCTTTATTAAGAAATTCGAAATAACATAAAAAAATGCCGCGGCCTTAGAATCAAGTGTATGGGATATCAAGATTCATTTTCTGAGTACTGATTAGGTATCGCAACATCTTTTTCGATATCAAACTCCTCCAAGCAACACGGGTAATTCTACCAGTATCCGTATATACATAGAAGCCGAATAAATTAAGTAAATCTGACGACGGCACAGTTGAAATTTCACGGCAGATTTTGTAATTTTACAATTCTTGTAAAATTCACGGAACTCATATTCGGTCGCACACAAAGAATTATAGGGAACTGAATTTGTGAGCGGACTATAAAAATTAGAGCGAGCGACAGAGGAGCAGGTTGAAACTTCAGATAACGAACTTCATCAAAAGCAGTTCCATGCAAATTGCTCGCGGGGGTGAAAGGACAAGGAGAGTGCTGCGGCTACTGAAGGACCGGAGGCTGAAGAGAAGAGACCCCGGAGCGGATTTGGACGTGGAGAGGTAAAAGCGAGAGGGTCCGCGGAAGCGGCAGGAAATTAAGGTCTGGAGGGCCGCGCGGCCATTAGCAGCCGGCGCCATCGAGGCGACACGCCCCCACGTGGATTCAACCTTGCGCCAACAACATCGGCGAAAGACAACGAACGCGCGCACCTTTCCAGGATGGGACGAGGAGAGAACAAGAACGGGGAAAAGAAAGAGAAAGAACGCAGAGAAGAGTCGCGAGCACTCCATGCTTGATCTATCTTTCGAGAAGGGATTCGGAGTTCTATTCCCCGTTGGCCCAATCATTCATCAACGTGCACAACAAATATCCTGGTCATATTTCTTCCCGGTAACATGACGTATTGCTGTACATGGTCATCATTTAAAATGTACTCGTTTGTGCGAAGCGCCATTACGAAATCTTCTACATGATTTACTGCTTACGTTTAACGCAAATAATACAAAGCTAAGTAATTAAGTTCTAAAAAAATCGTAGATTGCGAGTATATGACACACCTTAAGAAAGACTCAATTACTCTTTGTAAATTTTATTTCTCTGATAAAATATAAGAAGGTATCGAGTAAAAGTCATTGTTCCGCAAAATTTCCGAACGATTGCCGTGCGATTGCTCCCCGTTACGATTCTCTTTCGACGAATGAGAGCGCTCGTTGACGCGCGGAGGGTCGAAAGGGCGAAATCGTCTCTCCCGCTTTTACGTCGAGAGAGGGAGACGGCGGAAGGTTAGCGGAGATCGCAACGGGGTTGAGTGTCTCTCTGCCGGTGTACGAGCCACGCCCTCTTCAAGCTCGATGAGTGCAGGTTGTAGGCAGGCCACGTATCGATCCGTCGGGACAATATGACAGTGGCTTGCGGAGACAACGACGTCCCTCGATCAACCCTCTCTAGTCTCCATCGCGAAACTCTATGCGTAGATGCGCCCTTTTGCAGCACGTCTCACGTTATATTCTTTCGATTTTTGGTTTTTGGGAAATCGTCGGCACTTGCCTTGTAACGAAACATATATATGCTACAAGTTTTAATCAAGTTACGCGATTGAACAGACAGATCGAGGAAACGTCACTGTCACTTGAGTAAATGCGATGTCAACAATTGGTCAGGGATCGCTTTGAAGTAAGAAATGCGCGGTACAAGACTGACGAAGCGTGAAAAGTATCGAACCACACTCGGCACCGACACTAGCATCGACCTGACCTGGTCCCTCGCGCCCTTCTGTCGGCACGGTTGAAAGGGAGCCGACGTGAAATGGGCACCGGTAGGATCCTTTGTTTTAGCCGCGTGACGTCACGCCCTTCGTAGCCAGCTAGGACTAATAATGTCCCGAGCCGCGCATAAATTAAAACAGAGAATCCTCGGCCTGTCTCGCTTCGTTTTATCTACGCCAACTTGAATCTTTTTCTGAGAACTCATTCGCGTCGATTGCCTTTCGAGTCTGACGAAGATCACCTCGTGCCAGGAAGTATCGATTGCCGCGTCAGATTGTTAACGAGATCGAGCGCTCGACACTCAAGACTCAACGCCGCTAGTCGGCGGAAAATTAAGCAGAAACACCGGCATTCGTTCGAGCACGAGTCGCATGACAGCTGAACGCGAGGGAGGTAAAAGACCTGACAGGAGCGAGGGTGCGAAGCAACAAACCGTGGGGTGTCTACTGGTCGAGCTTCGCGGCGAACCGCATCCGACGGCCGTGTCAAACTTTCATTCCCCTTTCTGCTTGAGGAAAATACCCTCTTTCACACGTCAGGCGAGTTGTACGCGTCGACGATCGCTACCTCATGCGTGCACACTAAAGAAGACATTGAATTCGTTTTGACGGATGATTTTTTCTTTTATGTGCAAGAGAGATTTTCTTTTATTTATATAATTTTATTAAGGAATGTTTCAAAAAGATTGTAAAAAGTTACGATCACCGAATTGTTAGTTTTTTTTTATCAAATTCTTTTCTATTGTAAATATATTACTTGCGTACGTTTTTATTATAATTTAGGTTGTTCTCAGTACAAAATAGAAAAAGAGGAAGATTGCGATTGCACGTAGATTTCGGAAAAGATTTATTTCCCGTGTGTTATCGTCGCACCGTCGTCGTCAAATTAGCCGAGTGGAGACAATTAAATGAAAAAACGGAGAACTGCAAAAAAAAAAAAAGGTTGCTGCGTGCTTCGTAATGGAGCGTCGTGCAAAATTAGCCGATGATTTTTCCTGCTTTATGTGTAAAAAGTGTCGGTCGTTTTCAAAAAGCCATTGACCGCGATCTCCAAGCACCTGCCGAGCCGACATGGTCGAGTTTTTGATTGGGTCCACCTGCATTGAGCAGCCCTTAACTTAACCGGTGATATTGACCATCTCATCAAGAGAGTCGAATGTTGCGTATTTTCGATTTCTACATTTTGATAAAAAAAAGAATAATTTGGTACAATGTCAAAAAATATAATTAAATCGATTGCAATACCGACTTTGAACACTTATAAATGAAGGTTGACGCTAGTCTGTATTATCTGTACATTATAAAAAAAATAGCATACACAAGAAAAGATTCTAATTAAAGATGTAGGTAATTTATTTCGTACTTGTTACAACACATTTATTGATATGTTGCGAGAGGAAAGAATTAAGAGGATAATCGTTCATAAAATACACAACGTAACAATTACCATTGCAAATTGTAAAATGTACCGTAGATACGGTATATGTCGTTGGATTATAATTTAAAATAGCGCATATGTTTTATTTTTTGAAGTGAATTTGTAAGCGGACGTTCTCTTTTTATCATCTCGACATTCTTATAGAGACAGACGTTGCACGGGAAAGAAAGTTGCGCTTAGATCGAACAAAAATGTTGATCATGATTTCCATACCATCGCGCTAATTACTCTGGCCTGGGATTACCGGTCGGATAAAATTTTTAGCGGCTAGCACGAATGCCGTTGCACGTTAACCGGCCGGGTCTTTGGATGTGTATGTGCACGTCAACGCGCGAAGGGTTAGGCGAGTGTGCGCTCTCTTCGCGATGTCGGCGATAGTGCGAATGCGGGTTACTTCGAATGCTAATTATTTGTTTATCAGCCTCCGCATGCAACCGCGCCGGCACGCAGCCAGTGTCCCGATAAGACGTGGTGCCTCTTAGAACTGTTGCGCGCTAGGGCTTATATACGTACCTTACATGGTACGCCCGACTTCTTCGGCCTCGCAAGTAATTGCAGCGATTATAAAAACGTTCTCTTTGCCTCGCTCGTCTTTCTCGTTATCGGTCTAACCGTCGGCTACGATATAGTCGTTTCCTACATTATTTCCTACGTCGTATTGCAGCTCTCTCTCTTTCTTTCTTTCTCTCTCTCTCTCTCTCTCTCTCTCTCTCTCTCTCTCTCTCTTTTATTGCTTGCTTTATTCATTTGCGTTTATTTAAAACGCTGCTTAACATATTTATAATATGCATAACTACAATATATGCAATCGAGTAAGAATTCAATTGACATTGGTAGTAATTTATAGATTATAGGTTCTTAGACAATATTCCAAGTTGAAAATCACTTATTCTCGAGCTGATTGCGGAGTTTGTTATCTGAATAATCTCATTGCATTTATAAAGTTATTTGTGTAGATAATGTGTGCACTGTCGTGACTTTCACATGTAAACAATATTGTGCACATTCTTCATACATTGCGCTAATGTAAATGCGTTAGAACGTCAATCTTTAAATTACGT